GTCAAAGGTAATAAATGCTCAATAACAGCATTAATTGGAAGTGTAGGGGTTGTGAAATCCCAATTAACATGCCCCTTGTTCCAAACTATCCTACCACAAAGTCTGTTTGAGATTGACCCAGCGGCCTAGGAGTGATTATATAAAGGATAAACAGACAAACACACAGATTTTTGTGTTTCATATATATTTAGATAGACCTACATTGTCAAACCCATTTATAAACTCAGAGAACGTCAACAAGGCTAGTCCAAATAGGAGCTTTAGTTTAGTCTCATGGAGTTCTAGATCAGTTCAATTATGTTTACATTACCAGGACCCCAAAACATTGAACTAATTTATTCAGCAGATAAATTATTTCTCAATCATAAATAACAAACCTGGGCCAAAAATCATAAGCACCAAAACTTTAGTGGTGACTCAGCCCGATCATTGGGAAACCATAAAACATTATCACCAAGAAACCACTTACAATTCCTTTTGAAAAAAAAACAAAAAACATTACAGTTTCTCCTAGTGGCGAGAGAAGAAATTAGTTATTCATCCCTTACATCATAAGTAGTATAGCTACTCTTTCTAGTGGACAGAAGGTAAGAAAAAGAAACAAAAAGACTAACAAAGTTTAGGAAAATTTTCATTGATGCAAACTTAAAACACCATCTTGCGGTATTTGTTCGAATGAGCCTTCCTTTATGCCATAGAGTGAAAAACGTCTCATGCAATTGATTTTGACATCTGAAATGGGAGACATCCCAAACGCTAAGAGAAAATTATATGAGTGAACAGGCTGGCATTTAGGTTCTTTCAACTATGTAATCATCTCTAAGCCTCAGAGCAGTAGGTTCCTAAAGAGGATGATGAATTACAAAGGCAGCCACCGAGGTCATCACAAATTTCTATTATTAGGTGAAAGAACGATTTTTATATATTATGATGTACTTTTATACCAATCAAAGAAACTAGGGATAAAACGGAGACGTATGCACTTGTTATTGACGACTGGTAGTCTCTCCATACTAAAACACAATGTAGCCCAGTAGAATAAAAAAATACACACCAACACATGGGTGCAAATGATACTCTACGTTTGATTATATTGATCAGAAGTAAGGATTATTCAACTGAACCTGGGAACTATTGCAAAATAAAAAAGGGATAACATCGGGGAGTCGTTCCAGTATCTTTTAAGCCGGATTAAAAAATTACAAGGTTCAAAACATGTAAACATAGTTCTTATAATAAAACAGTGGCATTCAGAGTTCGGTTTAAACGATAGAGTTAGGCAACATTGTTAAAGTTCACTGACTTTATATGAGTAGTGTCGGATCCTAGTCATATCACAATTCAGGTTTTACTATATAATCATGAATAAAGATAATATAGTCTCTTGCAACTTTCTTTTTTCGGAACACTGAAAGAAGCATTTCCCACATGTACTATAGAACGTCCAATTATAAAAATGGTTTTCAATATAACCGAGCATTGGGAATTTCAACGTTACCTGCACTTGCATTTGAAAGATATATCTTCCTATATTCTAAAGAAAGAGAGATTTTCACTCTGTGCTCCTCTAACGAGATCAGAAGGTTTCTGTGGGGGCCTGATGGTAAGCTGTGTTATATGATTGTGACAGAGAATCAAAAAAAGATATTATCGATTTCTTCCTCATCAAACAACCTCCAAAAGAATTACAGATGAGGACATTGAAAAGACGTGGAAACAGACATCATTACTCCTGATGATAGATACGAAAAATGTACACCATAATTTTGTGTTGAGATCTTTAAATAGTCACAAAGATTCGCGTAGACATTTCTAATTTTTTAGATTACTACGATATATAAATTTAACTTTAAGACTAAAAATCGGACAGAAGGTTGGCATAGAAATGCTGATGAGTTAACTTGGTAACCTATAAAAACATGATATTCATAAGAACAGACACCTAGATTGACAACAAGAAAACTGAGAGAAGAACAAAGCTAAAAGTAAGTTTAAGAAATTGTGCATACACACTTTTTCTTAGTCATACACGAATATTTCATTTGAAAAAAAGAAACACAAAAATGGTAAAAAATTATGCACTCTTGGTCTTTAAGTCTTGGTTTTAGAATTAACCGAATAAAAATGATATGGTATTTGTCATGAAAACATTATAAGTCAGAGCGCTTTTTAGTAATAAAACAGGTCATTTTGGTATAGAGACAGTGCTATTAGTTCCAGTTAAACTTTAACAGTAACCCTATTACTAACTACTAGAGGAGAACGTGCAACCTTTGTCTGCTGTATTACACATTTTCTACACTTTATTGAACTATTGAATTATTACTACTGGATCTGGCTAACAGATACTGTCTTACACTATTTCTTTATTCACTGACAAGTCTGAAATTGAATTTTGAATATCAAGGTACGTTTCTTAAAAACAAAACAAAAGTACTTTTTTCGGACCCTGACATCAAAGATGTTAGGAGCTGTAAGTCGATTACTTTTGAAAAATCTGAAAGATTAGTCTTGTTTGATAAAAGAGAGTATTTTTAGAAAGTTATGTATGGAAGTAAAGAAGAATGATTGTATAACAATATGTCAACCACACTATATCAGTTATACCTAGAGCTGACGAGGAGTTACGTCAAGAATGATTGTATAACAATATGTCAACCACACTATATCAGTTATATCTAGAGTTGACGAGGAGTTACGTGAAGAATGATTGTATAACAATATGTTAACCACATTATATCAGTTATACCTAGAGCTGACGAGAAGTTACGTGAAGAATAATTGTATAACAATATGTCAACCACACTATATCAGTTATATCTAGAGTTGACGAGGAGTTACGTGAAGAATGATTGTATAACAATATGTTAACCACACTATATCAGTTATATCTAGAGTTGACGAGGAGTTACGTGAAGAATAATTGTATAACAATATGTCAACCACACTATATCAGTTATACCTAGAGCTGAGGAGGAGTTACGTGAAGAATAATTGTATAACAATATGTCAACCACACTATATCAGTTATATCTAGAGCTGACGAGGCGCTACGCCCACCATAAAAAAAACAGAATTGGGATAAGTATTAATATAAATAATTTATTTAATTATCTTATCACCAGTTATTGATTATTATTATTTACTTTTGTTTGAATCAACTTTACTCATTATTCACAAGAACTGGCGAACCAACAAGTTAGTGTTACTGTTTCCGAAGCGAGTCAAGCAACCACAGCGACAACGGGAGAATACTAAGTCAGTAATTCCAGGAAATTATAAGTGAAAATGAACTGTCTTGTGATATGCCAACCACGCTAAATTTGCTTCACCTATTGCCGACGAGACCCTTCATCAACACCAGGGCTCATCCATTTGACAGGACGGCAAACACAGCAGTGGTTGAGATGTTATTTATAATACCAAATTGTATGAGCAATATGAACAACTCTTAAGGAGTGAACTAGTTATAGGTAATAATTGAAATTTGGAGTTTTCAACTTGAACGACACTTTGAGCGCACATAGGCTAAACGCCCAGGTAAGAAGCTCATAGGATGCAGTTATAGCCGCTCCTAATTTTGAGCCACTGACTGGACAGAGGGCAGCCAGTGATAAGAACTTTGCATGCTTCTTTGAAACAAATAATGGGATTGACTGCCACTTTAAAAACGCGCACTTAACTAAAAGAGCAGAGCACGTTCAGCAACATCACGGCTCGAACCTGGGTATCCGCCGGCTGGGACAACGGTAAGTCTACAGATTTACAACACTAAGATCCGGGGTTAGATTCCTTGCGGTGGGCACAGCAGATAGCCCAATATGGCTTTGCTCTAAAAAATATACAAACGAACGAACCTGGAACTTTTCTGCGTGCGTGTGTTATAGCACAGCCATATCGGGTTATATGCTGTGTTCACCGAAGAAAATCGAAAGCCTGGTTGTAGCGTCGTAAATTCGTAGACTTATCTCTGTCCCACAGGGGGACGGGACTTTTCTATCAGTAGCCCAGCACGATAATTCCTACTAGATTATATTCGTCTCAAACGAATAAAAGAATGTCATTTTAGTTCAATATATTTTTATTTCTATTGATATGTGTTAGTTTATATACGTGTAAGACGAGGGTTTACATGTTATAAAAATCCGTTAAATCTAGATTACAGATGTTAAAAACAGTATGGGCTAAAATGACCATACGTAATTGACCGAAAATTACGTGGACCCATTTGAACTTGATTAATTTCCGCTTCAACTTGTTTCTTATATTATCCATATGAATATTTTATTTTGCTAGTAATACATAAAAGAAAGCAAACTGAAAATGTTAGAAGGCATTATCTTTCTCCATTTTTTTGTTATGGATAAATTGTAAAGTTGATTTGTATGATAATGGTTGGTTAGCATGAACTTATTATATCGAAACTGGGGCAAAATAAATATGATGTCATTCAGAAGAACGAAATAGTACAACTTTAGTCATTTATTATATATATCTGTCCATTTTTGGCAAGGTAATATTTAAAAATGAAGGGATATTAAGTGAACTTATGTATTTTATAAATGTATTATCATGGAGCAACAAAGAGAGTTCATATAGAGAAGGCATCTGAGGTGACATTCCTGAAAATAATTTTCTTTTTAACAATACAGTATCTCTGGTGATAATTAGTAGGTTGTTGGAGTCTTAGGAATTCAATCTATGCTTGATAATTGATTTCTAAGGTGTTTAAATTAAATCCTAGGTGTTAATTATAATGACTCTAAGCCTTCCCGTTCTCTCGTTCTCATACAATTAACAATACACAAATATTATTTATACAAAGTATTAACATGCATATTTTTTATCATAATACAGTTATATATATAGTTAAAACGTTAGTTAGTAATTTACATAGGGAAATTTCATCGACTATCGTTTAATCATGTATTAAGTTCACATCTGACATTTGTGGGAGTATATTTCGATAATAGAAGGTGTATTAAGATGGTGATACTCACCCCACCTGTTTTCACTGTCGGCAGGTTTAACCTGGATTGGACGGTTCATCTGAAGAAGAGAGAAATATATATATATAATGTATACGTGTGTATATATATAAAATTATTCCCGTTAAAACAGTTTGTTTTCTTAAGAAAACTATTTACTATTTAATGTATTGTGTTAATCTTACATGTAATTATAATTATCAATAAACTTTGTGGTCCTTTAAATATTAAATATGAAAAGCTAGAATGATCATTTTAAGTAACTACTGTTAATATTTTGAGTTTTCTGAAGATTTAAAAACTGAAAACGAGCGGATTTCCGACATGCGTCCGTGTTTGCTTGCAGTGTTAAAAATATAAAAAAGCCTAATACTAATGTCTTATGATGAATATAATTAATTATAATCATGCTTCGTCAGGTTGAAAAAATTAACACCATAACAATTGTTGTAACAAACGGCTTAAACAGTGTTTCGACCACTACTGTGTTGGTTGTATGTATCCCCCCCCCCCCCAGTGGCACAGCGGTATGTCTGCAGACTTGCAACACTAGAAACCGGGTTTCGATACCCGTGGTGGGCAGAGCACAGATAGCCCATTGTATAGCTTTGTGCTTAACTTCTAAACAAACAAAACAAAACTGTATGTATCCCAGCTGGCCCGAAGAGCTCTGGAATGAGCGAAACACGTCATCGGCAACGGATATGACAGATATATTGTGGTGTACTATTATTATTATACACACTTCTAATTCTTAAAAAATCCTTAAGGGACTAGATAGATATGTAATGTTAAGAATATAACAGACCTAATTCTCATGTCTTATGACAAGTAGAATTAATTATAACCATGCTTCGCCAGCTTGGAAAAGGCACTAACATCAGAACATATTTCAATTTATTCCGAGTTATAGTAAAAATGAACAATTGTAAGTAATCTTATTTTTCTATACACAACCAAAAAAGTAAAACCGAAACTTACTTAACCAACCATCATATATATCCTAGTTATTTCAGCTTAGTATTTCTTTCCTTTACATTTCGAAGTTTAAGTAAATTTTAAACAACTTCTCAAACCACGGATTTTTCTCTTTGATGTTAAAGAAAGGAATGCGTTCTAATATTGCTCTTTAGATATATTCTTTTCTTTGTTAGGCATTTCTACATTTATTATTCATAATTCCATCCTTATGTCTGAGAGCACATCGTAAGAAGGTTACTGACTCTTCTTTTCTAGTTCCTATCATGGCTGTTCACATAAAACATTTTAGACACTTATGTATAAATTCTATTCAGGCTTAGTGTGTTCTTAGCTAGAGAATAAAATAGTACAATGTTTACAGTATGTTACGTACTAAAATAGTAAATCCGTTCTGGTGTTATGTGATAGTTTCTTGAGTCATTCACATATTAATTCATTAATTTGTGTAGAATTAAGCATTTTACAGTATTTAACTAAAAAAAGAAATATTAAAGGAACGAAGTTTCAAACAGTAGAATTCTTATTGTAGATTTCTAGCGATTTTCATATATGACTGTAGAGTCTTTTACTCTCTCTAGGTTGACTTTATAATCTTATGTCATTCGTGTCTTTGTCTGTAACAACCTTACACACACATATCTATATATTTGGTTACGAGCAACATGTGTAAAACTACTTTACGTAGATCAATTAAAAAAAAAAGTACCCTACATATGCACCAAATATTAACATGAAATTGTGTAATTTCTATGATAATTTAAAGTTAAATTTATATAATCGCTCTGAGCTATAGAGTCCATTATAATTATGTTGATAATAATTAGAAGACGATGCAAGCCCTAATCATCTGCCAATTTTCATTCAGGAAAAATGGCACATTAACATAAACTCACATGCTATTTAAATACTTGAACATTAACATTTCACTGAAAAAAGTTGCCCAATAAATTCTCAGTGATGTATAGCCTTAGTTATCAGATGGAAGCTGGTTAGGATATGTGATCATATATACATTCACTGTATAATATACGGAAACTGGTTAGGATATGTGATCATATATACATTCACTGTATAATATACGGAAACTGGTTAGGATATGTGATCATATATACATTCACTGTATAATATACGGAAACTGGTTAGGATATGTGATCATATATACATTCACTGTATAATATACGGAAACTGGTTAGGATATGTGATCATATATACATTCACTGTATGATATACGGAAACTGGTTAGGATATGTGATCATATATACATTCACTGTATGATATACGGAAACTGGTTAGGATATGTGATCATATATACATTCACTGTATAATGTACGAAAACTGGTTAGGATATGTGATCATATATATATTCACTGTATAACATACTGAAACCGGTTAGGATATATGATCATATATACATTCACTGTATAATATACGGAAACTGGTTAGGATATGTGATCATATATACATTCACTGTATAATATACGGAAACTGGTTAGTATATGATCATATATACATTCACTGTATAATATACGGAAACTGGTTAGTATATGATCATATATACATTCACTGTATAATATACAGAAACTGGTTAGGATATATGATCATATATACATTCACTGTATAATATACGGAAACTGGTTAGTATATGATCATATATACATTCACTGTATAATATACAGAAACTGGTTAGGATATATGATCATATATACATTCACTGTATAATATACAGAAACTGGTTAGTATATGATCATATATACATTCACTGTATAATATATCACTTATGATCCATAATGCATTTTACCACGCATCAGAAAATTGTTCACACATTCAATATTTTTAAGCACTATTCAGATTTGTATTTGGCTCTACTAACAGAATCTGTATGCAATTCATAGGAATAATTCTAACAATACATAGAATTATCTGTACTTAATAGTTATGAGAGTCATCTGTACCTAAGTTTCCCATTTGTATTCAACTCTATAATAGGTTAAAATGTGACACATAATATTTCATAATAACTCTAATAACGATCGAAGACAAGAAAACATGAAATTAGTTTGGGTACATCTCAAAATGTATGGTTCATAAATAAAGATGTACTGAAATAATTTTCTTATTAAAATGTAGATTGTAATGGAAAAAAAATATATAAAAAACTCAGTGGGCATTCCAGATATATAATGTAAAGGATCAGCTTTATAGAGCTTAGAATCGAGAGTAATGTAATAGGAAAAACTGATTTAGGTTTGCCTGATTATCCTAGAGGATCATTTCATATCAGGAAAAAATAATTTTGACATAACTCATAATGTCTTTTTTATAAGATCCTCAGATCAGTTTTACAATACGGAGAAGTGATTATACCCAGCTATTTTAAAATAACTTGAAACGTTATCCAAATAAATAGAAAATCAACTCGTCTATCTATCTATCTCGTAGCATGTAGCTTTTCATAACTCCAATATAATGAAGGTGTTAATATATAAAAATAAAGGGAAAACATTTTTTTCAGGAAACAAGTAGAAGGATTAATATGCCAGTAAAATAGATGCATCAATTACGATGTCATATAAACATCAACATAATAAATAGCAATAGGAAAACCTTGGAATTTATCAAAATTAAAGAAAAAAAAACACGCTAATATGATTAATTAGAAAAATGATGTAATTTGTTTTACTGATGCAAGAAATATAGACAAACCAATTTTTATTTCATGCCATTTTCTTCTCTCTCGCTCATGTTTATGTTATATATATTTGTTCACTTTCATATCGACATTTTGTTATGCATTCATCTTGTCTTTCACTCGTAAGTTCTTAGAACTGCTAATACAGTCCTTACCCGTTGGCACTGGGATTCCTTGATTCACAATAAGACTGGTTTGCCATTTCTTCTGAATTATTAGTAAAGTTAATTAAAGTAAAAACGGATAATAGTAATATATAATTGGTGTCACAATAAATCGTGTTATTAATCCTTGTCCTAATTCTGATTTGTAAATGAGTCATATAAAATTTATAAAAATTAGGTTTTAACAACTTAACTTAGTTCACACTGTAACAGTTGTTTTTCATGTAATTTGATAATATAAAGATCATTTCAATTATTACTATGTCTGTCATGTCCCAGCCAGCCTGACGAGTCCTATTATTGGTCGAAAGGCCTCGTCGGCACTGGATATTGTGTGGTTGACATACTGCTATACTTTCATTATATTTTCATTAATTATTTAATTTTCTATAGAAACAAAATGTATTTCACTGTTATTGATAACGGGAATAATCCCTCGCCCTTAATATACTATACTATAAAACATTTATATTATCACATTTTAAAGTGCAGTACGACTGATTTAATTATAATAATCGTGTTATACAAGCAATAAATCAGGTTTTCTTTCTGTTTTCACAACTATTTCACAAAACACTGCATTGGTCGTTTAGATGATTTTAATATAAGAAGAGAGATTGCAACGTAAATGCAATCTAAACTGGCAACAGAAACTAGTAGTGTTACTTTACAAAACTAAACGATGCTTTGTGAAAAAAGAAAATAATTACATAATATTAAAAAGGAAGCCACCAGACTCTTTTTTCTTCAAATCTCGTTTAATGTCAGTTTTCGCTACACAAGGGTTGGCTGCTCATAGATGTCCCTAATTTTGAACTGACAGACATGAGAAATGGCAACTAGACAACAACACCCATCGCCAACTCTTAGGCTACTCTTGTCAGACTGAATAGTGAGATTTTACCGTCACTTTTGTAGGCCACCGAGGCAAAAACGGGTTGAGAACCACAAATTCTCAGATTCACAGTCCTAGCAGACATTTCTGAACAGCATACACCTAAAAAAACTCTTATCAAACGCTAAAACATAAAGAGAAAGAACATATAAAATATTAAGGTAATGTTCTAAAAACTGTTATATTCATTCCTCTTGCCCCTTGATGGGTCAACGGTAAGTTTACGGACTTCATTTCGATTGCCCGCGGTGGACAAAGTGCAGATAGCCCATTGTGTAGCTTTGCACTAAGGAAAAGAACAACAGTATCGTTTCTTTTGTCTGATCACAATA